CTGCCTGCTCTACTCCCCGCTCTGGCTCTGGTGAATTCTCTCACCCTCCCGCGCTTCTGACTGTACCCAGTGCTTGTATAAATAAATAAAAATAAATCTTTAAAAAAAAAAAAAAAAGAAGTCTTTACAGAAATCAAAAGGTTTTCTTTCCTTCATACTTGTGGACACACAAGAGGAAATCCACAGTTTGAAGAATGTCATACATTCTGGGCATTTATTTTCAACCATCCATTATTTCCAAATTTTCTGAAAACATCAGAAAAGAATGTCTAACAAGTTCTTTGAAAAATGTACACCTAAATAAGTATGCCATTTATGTACACAGAGAACTAGCAATCTTTAAATATGCCAGTAAAAAAGTATGTATTTCAGCAACCAAAATCCTATGCATTTTCTCTTGGGTAACTAAGTGCTACAGTAAGGGAGACAATTATGTGAGTTTAAGGGTGTCTTATACAGATGAAACTGTATATGAACACCTGCAACAGAAAATAATGGCACATACTACAAAAATCATGACAAGGAGTCATGAAAAGCAGCACTGAAAAGGTAAACAGACAAATTACAAAAGGTCTCATGAGTTAGTAAAAAATGTAGAATTCATGTAACAGGGAGCCATTTCAAGTGCTGAGCTCTAAAAGATAATGAAAGCAATTCTTTGGAAAGATTTGCCAAGATAAGTAGGAAGAAAAAGATCTAAAAGGGAGGGGAAAGGAAAAAAAAAAAAGCTAAGCTAAGCTCAAAATCAAGGCAGCAAGAATGGAAAGACTAAAAAGGGTTATTTTTAAAGGGCATTTTTACTTTTCTTGTTTTTCAAAATAGAATTATGTTCACCTAGTATTATGCAGTCACTGAAAATTTCGTAAAAAAGAGAATACCAAAGCCCACCAGTTGGCCCCTTCCTCATCATTCTGTTCAGTATATATGCCCCCAGACATTTTAGCAATACTTAAAATACATGTATTTATAGTTAAAGAAAATGTCGCCAAGTATACACAATGCTCTTGTACACTTTTCTTCACTTAAAATATGTAGCCATTTTTCAAGTCAACAGACCAAATCCATCTTCCAAGGGACTGGCTCAATCAGAAAAGACAACAAGGAGTGAAGAATTGGTGTCGACCTCTCTTAACTACATCAGAAATCTGGAGTGGACTAAAAATGAGCATATTGGAAGAAAGGAGTACATTTTTTGAAGGGAGCATATACACTTGTGATTTACAAACATGAATCTGAGAGGGAATGAGCTAAGAACAGAAAGAAACAAAGTTACCGAACACAAAACAGGCATCAGGACTGCAATCAAAACCAGAAAAGGAGGTCCTTCCTGGTGGCAAAGGGGTTAAATCTCAGTGCCATCAAGCTATCTACAGCCACTGCAGCATGCAAGATCCCTAGCCAGGGAGCTGACCCACATGGCGCAGCGGACCTCTCCTGTCTCACCCACTGCTTCCCTCAGCAGTATAATTCAGTCAATCCACCTCTTCTGTTCCCCACTCTGTCTCTGGTGAATCCTCTCACACACACCCCCACACCTCTGGCCTACACCCCAGTTCTTATATGCATAAATACAAATAAATATTAAAAAAAAAAAAAAAAGAAACCAGAAAAGATGAAGGGGATGAAAAATACATAGCAAAAAAGGCAGGTCAAATTCTAATGACCAAATAATCCCAAGCATGAGAAGTTCTCAAAAGAGAAAACAAGGTAATATGAGAGCAAATAATATAAGGGTGAAAAAGGTCTGGGAAGTGACTCCAAAGAAGTGAAATTTAAGTGAATACTTGAAGGATAAATATAATTGCCTTGGAGATGAGACAGGGGGTTGAACATTCCAAGCAGAAAGAACATACAGAAAGAACATGTGTACAGGCCAAAGGGGCATATTGTTTTTACAAAACTGAAAACCAGGTTAAAGCACATAGAAATGGAAAAATCATGAAACAAGGCCAGAGAAGAAAACAGAAACAAAATTACTGAGTATTGGTACAAGGGGTCAAAGTGCAGCACTACGAAGCTAGCCACAGCCACTGCCACACAAGTTCAATCCCCCGCCAGGGAGCCCACATGGCCTCTCCCGTCTCTCCTGCTGCTCCCCTCAGCAGTGTACTTCAGTACATCTGCCTGTGCTGCTCCCCACTCAACTCAGTCTCTGGTGAATGCTCATACCCCCCGCATCTCTGGCCTGCACCCTAGCTCTTGTATGCATAAATAAAAAATCTTTTAAAAAAATTACTGAGTATTTTGGAGTAATAGTCATGGATGAAAATAAATTTCCAAAAAGGTGGAGTGGTGAAAAGTTTGGTCTAAATGCATGTAAAGTGTCATCCCCAGTACTTATTAACTATGTGAACCTAAACAAGTTAATTTCCCTTCGAAGCTGTGTCATCTGTAAATGGGAGATGTGATCACATTTGTTTCATTGGGCTACTTGAGGTCTAAGAATATACATAAAAATGTTTCACAGAGTTTGACATGACAAAATACTAACATCTGTGTGTGTGTGTCCAGATGTGTAATTCACTGGCTGACAGGCGTTAAAAAGCAGACTCCAAGTTCAAACAGACTGGAAGCAAAAACACAAACAGGTGATAATCTCAAAGTTGTAGAACTAAAGGTGACTTTTATGTTTATTATGTATAACTCCTCTGTGTTTTCAAAGAGTCATTTCAACAATTAAGAAAAAAATATTTTTTAAATGTCTTACTTTTTTTTTTTTATAAATATTTTTTAAAGATTTATTTATTTTTATATAAGAACCGGGACACAGGCCAGATATATGGGAGGGTGAGAGAATTCACCAGAGACAGAGTGGGGAACAGAACAGGAAGACTGAAGAAATACACTGCCGAGGGGAGAAGCTGGCGAGACAGGAGAGGTCTGCTTCGCCATGTGGGATTCTCACCAGCCGGCTGGGATCGAACCCACGCTGCAGAGGCTCTGGACAAGCTTCACAGTGCGGCGCTTAACTGCCTGCGCTACCAGGAGAGGCCATGTCTTTTTTTTTTTTTTTTAAAGCAAGGGTTTCTTTAGATGTAATATTTACCTATGCTTGGCTAAAAGGCAGATGGAAGAATCCACACTGGAAAAACAAGAAAACTGGAGTATTTTCATTAAGGAAAGGGATCTTTAGAAAGCACAGCTGCAGGGATAAGAAAATCACGGGTTCCAAGCATATGGTGGAAGTGGTCACTATGGAGGGTGAAGACATCAGCCTCAGAGAATGAAAATACCAACTTATTCCTGATCTTCTCTCAGGCTGTATCTTAAAAAGATCCAACTGGGGCCTCCCCGGTGGCGCAGCAGTTGAGCGCTGGGTTGCTAAGCTGCCCGCAGTCTCTGCAGCGCCAGTTCGATCCCAGGCTGCTCCCCGGCCAACGGAGGAGGGTCCCACATGGCAAGCAGACCTTTCCTGTTGCCCGCTGCTCCCCTCAGCAGTGTAGTTCGTTCTTTCTGCCTGCTCTGCTCCCCGCTCTGGCTCTGGTGAATTCTCTCACCCTCCTGCGCTTCTGACTATACCCAGTGCTTGTATAAATAAATAAATAAATCTTTAAAAAAAAAAAAAGATCCAACTGGACCTTGGGATTCCATGTCTTGGAAATGGTCTGGCATGGAGTAGACACTCAAAGTTGTCAAACAAATTTTCTTATGATTTCTAGCATGAATTATCATTATAAGATAGGAAGTAAACCAAACACAAAATACCATCAAGCCATCCACCATGAATTACAATTCCATTCAGGGATAATTTTAATAGTTACCAGATACAAGAACAAACCTATCTTGATTACACTTGCTATAGAACCCCTGTACTTATACTGTGCCCAAATTGATCTCCCTTTCTTTAGTCTACTAACTAAATCTACTGAAAACACATGCAATCCTATCAAACTACAAGCCCCTTTCTCTTCTCTTCCCAAATAAATAGTTGAGGCAAGAACAGGAGAGTATAGACAAAATGACTTGGGGCATGAAGTCAGAAAATATGAATTTAAAGTCCTGTTCTGCCATGTTGGTATGCCTTTGGACAGGTTAGCTCCCCTTTTAAGCCTTACTTCTCTGTAAAGGGAGAACTAAGAATACCTCACCCACTCACAAGATTATTAGGCCTTAGTAAGAATACACTTAAAATTGTGTGCTGCAAAAAAAGCACACAGCAGTACAGCCCAAAGCATCCTCATCTTTGGTGGTAGCAGTCATGGATGCTCTATCTTCAGTACACAAAATTCTCTTAACCCCCAAACTCTCACCTAATTGTCAACCAACAACATATGTTTACAAGATGTCTAGTTAGTGTTAGTCCATAACCTGGGATTGAAAGAAGGCATTTTTCCATGTATGTTTCATCAGCCTGGAGGTCCATCATTCACAGCCAAACATCTCCAAACACCTGAGTTAGTCTCTCAAACAAGGAAATGGTCCTTTTCCTTGGGAAAAGGGCAGCGCACAAGGTAAGGATTTGAGAGAAGAGTACAGGCTTCCAAGTTAAAGACAAAAGAGAGAAATCATAAAATCACCAATTGGGCATCATCTGACTGATGATGTTAAACCATTTTATCCAGAAGCCTTCTCCTTTCCAGTCAATCTTATTTTTTTTTAAAGTGTTATTTAGGCATAATTTCTGTATCATAAAATTAATCCATTTTAAGTGTACAATTCAATGACTTCATTCATTTATAAAGTTGTGCAATTTTCACCTCAATTCAATTTTACATTTCATCACCCCATAAATCTCCATTCCTACCCTAAGCCCTAGACAACCTCTGATGTGTTTTCTGATCTTTAAGTTTGCCGTTTCTGGAAATCTCATATACCTGGACACACAATATGTAACCTTTTGAGTCCAGGTTCTTTCACATAGCATTATGTTTTTGACATTTATCCACATGATATCATGTACCAGTTTGTTTTTACTGTTAAATAGCATTCTATTAAATGAATATTCCACATTCTGTTTATCCATTCACTTGCTGATGGATGGACATTTGCATTGTTTCCAGATTTTGGCTATTGTAAATAATGCTGCTATGAACAGTCAATGCAAGTCTTTGTGTGGACAAGTTATATTTTGGGTAGATACCTGCAGAGTGGAATTATTGCACCATATGGTAAGTTTATGTTTAACTTTTTATTAAATTGTCAAATTGGTTTCCAAAGTGTCTATATCATTTTATATTCCCATAGCAATTCTCACATTTGTAAGAACTTTTTTTATAGCCTTCTGACTATAGTAATTCCTGGGGGCACACAATGGAAATTGACTATGATTTTAACTTGCATTCTGCTAATCATTAATTATAATGAGAATCTTTCTGTGTGATGAAATGTCTGTTCAAGTCTCTATCATATGTATTTTTTTTTAAAGATTATTTATTTACTCATACAAGAACTGGGGTACAGGCCAGAGGTGTGGGGGGTGAGAGGACTCACCAGAAACAGAGTGGGGAGCAGAACAGGCAGACTGACTGAAGTACACTGCTGAGGGGAGCAGCAGGCGAGACATGAGAAGTCTGCTGCATCATGTGGGTAGCTCCCTGGCTGGCTGAGAATCAAACTCGTGCTGCAGTGGCTGCGGATTGCTTCATAGGTTGCATCGTAATCCTTGTGCCATCAGGGAGGCCCCCTCTGTCACATGTTTTAAATTGTCTTTCATTTACTTTCTTGTGGTAAAATAAACAACACAAAATTTACCATTTTAGGTGTACATTTCCATAACATTAAATTCACAACCATGACCACTATATTTCCAGAACTTTCTATTAATTCTTAACAAAAACTTTGTGCCATTTAAACAATAACGATATATTTCCCCACTTCCTCTAGTAACCTCTCTATTCCATTCTCTGTCTCTATGAATTTGCCTATTCTATTCTAGATATCTTATATAAAAGTGGGTTCATACAATATGTTTTTTGTCCATTTTAAAAAATCAGATTGTCTTCTGCCTGCATTGTAAGAATTCTTTATATATTTGGGATACTCATATCAGATACACAAATGTTTTCTCAGCCTATAGCATGTCTTGTCATATTCTTAATTATGTCTTCTGAAGTGCAAAACTTGTATATTTTATTTTTTTTTAATTTTTTAAAGTTTTTTTTTTTTATACAATAGCTGAGGTACAGGCCAGAGGCGTGGGAGAGTGAGAGGATTCACCAGAGACAAAGCGGGGAGCAGAACAGGCAGATAGGCCGAAAGCACTGCTGAGGGGAGCAGCAGGAAAGACAGGAGAGGTCTGCTGTGCCATGTGGGAATCTCCCTGGCCGGCCGGGAATTGAACCTGTGCTGCAGAGGCTACGGACAGCTTCACAGGACTGCGCTCAACCCGCTGCACCACCTGGGAAGGCCCAGTTGTATATTTTAATGAAGTCATTTATCAACTTTTCTTTTATGGTTCCTGTCATTGGTGTCACATCTAGGAAATCACTACCTAACCCAAGGTCACAAAAGTAGTCAAGACATTTTGTACTTTTAGATTTAATTGTATGATCCACTTTTAATTAATTTTTGTGTCTAGTCTAAATTAAAGCCTGAGGTGGCTTTTGTTTTCCTATACAATTTTCCCAGCATCCACTGTTGGGAAAAAAACTATTCTTTCCCCTACTACTGTCTTGACATCTCTGTCAAAAGTAATTGGGGCCTCCCTGGTGGCGCTAGGGGTTAAGCACAGCACTGTGAAGCTGTCCGCAGCCTCCTCAGCATAAGTTCGATCTCCAGCCAGCCGGGGAGCTACCCACATAGCACAGCAGACCTCTCCTGTCTTGCCCACTGCTCCCCTCTATAGTGTATTTCAGTCTGTCTGTTCTGTTCCCCACTCTGTCGGGTGAATCCTCTTACCCCCCACAACTCTGGCCTATACCCCAGTTCTTGTATGCATAAATAAATAAATCTTAAAAAAAAAAATAAAAAAGTAGGGCCTTCCTGGTGGCGCAGCAGGTTGAGCACCACGCTGTGAAGATGTCCACAGCCTCTTCTGCACGGGTTCAATTCCCAGCTGGCCAGGGAGAAACCCACATGGTGTAGCAGAACTCTCCTGCCTCGCCCGCTGCTCCCCTCACAGTGTCCTCAGGCCCCAAGGAAAGCTTGTATTTCCCACCAATGTCTCCATTTTAAACTAGATTGGAGGGCAGGGGGTATCTCTGTTCCTTCCAACTACTTCAGTGATCGCCTCTAGCTTTCCTCCCTTGCATCTAGTCTACATATCCCAGATACCAGCATTTGGTGTGAGACTCACATAGCAATAAATAATCCTGTCAAAAGACCTAATCACATAATAAACAATAAGCCTATCAACATATTAGAGCTATTATAAATATATGTGCATACCAAGTGACCACATACATACACACACACACTTTTGCTAAAAGTCACAGAATAATATCCTTTTCTTTCACCTAGCTCCAAAAGCCTACTGCATTAAGCCTCATTCCAGCTAACTTCTGGTTTGGTTTTTTCCCCCTAACTTCTCCTCCCTCTCCAAGATTCTCAAGGTATCAACCTAAAGGCTCCTCCTGGTAAATTAATCCAACATTCATACATCTTATAAATTACTACTTGTAAGTAACTTGTAAATTGACTGCGAACAAATTTAGTATTTATACACTAAAATTAATAAGAGACTCTAGTACTCTAAATAGAAGTCTGGCTATCACAAAATGGGTGACAATGTTGCAATGATCCTACTACAGTTCTCAGAAGAATTCCATTATTACTGTTGAAGGAATTAGTGATAGTTTTCAAATGCTGCTATTTTTTCTTTTTAATCTTTAATTATGGCTCTTTTGGCATCATCATTTCCAATCTAGTTTAATACAAACTATGTATAATGATGGGTATTACATCAATAGAATCCTTATGTCTCAAATATGAATGATATGGTATCATGGATTCTCACATTCCCTTTACTGATCTTTATTCACCATTATCTTAATTCCTTGTCCAGAAAATTCTCAGCTCCCCCAATTTCTATTTTCATAAGGAAAACCCACCCCTTAAACTGTAACACATTCATAAAAATTCTTTTCTTCATACCAAAGGAAAGGAGTCTCAGATCCAAGGGACAGCATGAAGTCATTAATGCCTCTTCCTGAAGTTTCCCTGGAAGTAGATTTTTCAATTCTTGAATATAAGAAAATGTTCTTGACCCCAACTCCCAAACTCAGATCCCTTTTTATAAGGTTTTACTCTATAACCCTCCCCCTCACATCACACCCCCCCCACACCCATATTTAAAGAAAAGTGACTGGCTAGTCACTGAATAAACCACAGAAAGTTTGAGTAACAAGGGAAGGTAAGCAATAAAACTGATTCCCATGTATCTGTGATTAGTTTAAAACATGCTCTGAGAAAGAACTAAAAGCACTCCTTTCCCCATATTTTGGGGCCTACTAGCATTAATTGTGAGAAAAAAAATTTCCATTTTGTTTATGAGTTTTACAAGCATAGTTTTCTTCCATTTTTCAGTCTGATTCCTCCCTCTAGGCGCTTCAGCTAGGGCCTGTTGCCACCTAGTGGGTAAATGGGAATGAACTTTAATGCATTATCATAGGTTCTCACCTCTGCTTCCAGAAAAGACCACTAGATGGAGACCTCAAATGTGAAGTAGGAGAGCTCCTAAATAAACCAATCTAGAAAACCAACTGGGTTTTCACTACACATAAAACTAGTTAAGATTCACACAATTACAATAAAAGGGAATGAGTTAAATAAAAATCTTTTGGAGGGGGGGCCTCCCTGGTGGCACTATGAAGCAGTCCGCAGCCTCTACAGCACGAGTTCAATTCCCGGCCAGCCAGGGAGCAACCCACATGGCGCAGCAGAACTCTCCAGACTCGCCTGCTGCTCCCTTCAACAGTGTGCTTAGGTCGGTCTGCCTGTTCTGTTCCCCACTCTGTCTCTGGTGAATGCTCTCACTCCCCAAACTTCTGCCCTGCACCCCAGCTCTTGTATGCATAAATAAATAAATCTTTAAAAAAAAAATCTTTTGGAGGCAGTAAGGCATGGGGTTAAGGATATAGCAAAAACCCCTAATAAGAGATATCCAAGTTGAAATCAGCAACATACAAAAATGATAATACATCATGACTACATAAGATTCAGCCCAGGATTGCAACACTGGTTCAAAAATAAAGCAGCATTATTCACAATATTAACTGCCCAAATATCTAAACATGCAGAAGCAGAATTCAAAAAATTTGGTACCATTCATGATTAAAAAAAAAAAAAAAAAAACTCATGGCAAATTAGGAAATCAAAGGAACTTCATCAAGATGAAAAAGGAAAACCGAAAAAACATAGCCTCCTGATTTCAAAACTTACCATACGAAGCTATGGTAATCAAAGAATGTGGTACTGACACAAAGACAGACATAGGGATAAATTTAAAGAAAGAAGTACAAGATTTCAACACTTGTCTTTGAAAAACATTTCTGCAAAAGAATTAAGAAGTCCTAAATAAGGGGAAAGATACACTGAAATCATGTATTTAGAAGACAATTCTAAGACAACAATCCTTTCCAAATCCAATCCAATCAAAATTTCCACAGGCTTTTTTGTTTATTAAAAAAAAAAAAAAAGCAGACACAATGAATCTATAAAAAAAGGAAACAAAACCCCAAATAGGCAAAATATCTCTGAAAAGGAAGCGTGGAGTTAGAGAATTAATACTACCTGACTTTAAGATTCATTATAATGCTACTGAAATGAAGACACTGAAGTGTTGGTGAAATTATAGAGTAATGGCGGAGAACACAGCCGACAAGTAGATTCATCAAGGTCAAATAATTTTTCAACAACTGCATCAAAAATTCAATGCAGAAAGTCTTTTCAACTTATGGTGCTGAAACAAATAATAGCCACGTAAAAAGACTGACTCCTATTTCATACTATACCTAAAAATAATATAACAATAATCTGAGACAGGTTATAAACATAAATGTAAAAACTAAAACAAAAACATTTCTGTAGAAAAGATGGTAGAATCCCCCTGCAACCTCAGGTGAGGCCAAGATTTCTTATAATGAACACAAAAAGCATTAAACATAAAAGAAAAAAAAAATTTTAGAAAACCAGGAATTTCATAAAAAGTTTATTAACACACATCTACCATTTGACCCAATTCTTAGTTATGTAGAAAAGAAATAAAAACATACATTCAGAAAATAATTGTGTAAGAATTTTCATAGATGCTTTATTCATAATAGTCAGAAATTAGAAAGAATCCAATATCAACAGGTGAATAAAGTACAATGGAATGCTATTCAGCAATACAAAGGAATGAACTAACACCTCCAACAACATGAATGAGTCTATTAGGCTGAAAAACACCAACACAAAAGAGCATACGTTGTATGAGTCCATTTATATATTTTCAAAGAAACAAAACTAATCTATCATAACAGAAGTCAGAAGTTACTGCTCCTGGGAAGAAGGGATGGCAATATTCTCTGTATTTTGATGGAACAATGATTATACAAAGGGGCATGAATTTGTGAAAAGTTCTTGAACCTTTTACTTAAAATCTGCATGTCAATTGCACCACTATTTTTTTTAAGATTTATTTATTTATGCATACAAGAACTGGGCTACAGGCCACAGGTGCAGGGGGTGAGAGGACTCACGAGAGACAGAGTGGGGAGCAGAACAGGTAGACAAACCAAAATACACTGCTGAGGGGAGCAACGGGTGAGGCAGGAGAGGTCTGCTGCGCCATGTGGGCTGCTACCTGGCTGGCCAGGATTCAAACTCATGCTGCAGAGGCTAGCGATAGCTTGACAGCGCTGTCCTTAACCCCTATGCCACCAGGGAGGCCCCTCACACCACTACTTTAAAAGAGATAAAAAGGCTTTGGGATCACAGTTTTTCCAGTTCTGCCACTTACCAGCTGTGTGACCTTGGCAAGTGTTAAACTACCAGTTTCCCACACTGTTAAATGGGCAGAACAAGAGTTAAGAACAACCTCACAAACTTCCCACGGGAAAAAATGAGATGTTTTAAAGCCATTAGCATGCAGTAAAACTCACTAAATATTAATCAAAAAACCTAGAAATCCTTTATCATGTATTTCAGCACAGGAGAAACATGCAGGAAAGACTAGAGCAGTTAAATACTATGCAACTCACATATATGATCCCACTTACATTTTAAGATAACCTCCCAACAGTGATTTTACTGCTTTATGGACTGAAGAAACTGCGCTTCACAGACTGCCTACGGTCACTCAGCAAAGAAGTGACAAGACCTGAGATGCAAACTCTCAGATGCCCTGTACCATGCTCTCTCTTTCCCATCAGGGTCACTCTTTTAAAAAAAAAAAAAAAATTTATTTATTTATACAAGAACTGGGGCACAGGCCAGTTGCACAGGAGGCTGAGAGGATTCACCAGAGACAGAGTGGGGAACAGAACAGGCAGACTGATGAAATACACTGCTGAGGGGAGCAGCGGGTGAGACAGGAGAGGTCTGCTGCGCCATGTGGGACCCCTGCTGGCTTCACAGCCCAGTGCTCAACAGCCTGCACCACCAGGGGAGGCCCCATTAGGGTCACTCTTAACAAAGTAACCCTGCAACTGCCAAAGGGCACAATTTATATGAGAAGCCACTAGGGCGCTCTACATTCTCCACAACACAGCAGTGTCGTGCCTGACTCTGAAAAGGTGGCCAATTTTGTTAAATTGATTAGTCAATGGAGGCAGAGTTACAAGAAGTCTGAAAATGCAGCTCTGGGTCATTACCCTGTTCTTGAGCTTCAAGATGAATCCTGCTAATTAAGACCCTTCCTTAAAGCAATTTCAAGATAGTAAATTCTGAATGCAGAATGTGTGCACTAAAAGAGAAGGTGGAGCCTGGGCGACTCACTTTGGCAAACAGCCTTGTAGACTTAGCCGTAATTTTTAAACAATATATATCTTTTATTTATATATATGTGTGTGTGTGTATACATATATGCACACATATATAGCGCCAGATTTTTAACAATATGTATTTTTTCTTAATCTAAGACACTAGTTAAAGACAAATTAAAACAGAAAAAAATTAAACTTACCCCACAACCCCATTTACCCAGATACTGCCATTAACCAACGATTTAGTGTATCATTTTCCAGACTAATAATCAGTCTTCTCCTTAGTAATCCTCGTACATGAATGACTACCATCCAATTAACAAGACCCCTATTAACCTCCAAAGACGTTAAATAAGCTTCTGTGCTGGCCCTTTCTTTTTTTTCCTTGCTATTATAATAAATGCTGAAAGGTGTATCTGTGAATATACATTTTGTATATCTATCATTTCTTACATGATAAATACCTAGTCATATGAATTGCTAAAGCCGTAATTTTAAATTTAAACTTTTGAATCTGCAAAAATAAACTGCACATTTTCAGTTTTGACAGATAATTCGATCACACAATAGTTGCCATTTTCTAACATTTTCATCTGCTCTCACAGTTTCATTCCTTTCGTGTAAGAGCTGCAAATTCAAATGTCTACAGAAGGCCAGCAAGAAACAAAAGGAAGCAGGAGGCCATACGGGTCTGTGACAAGCTTGAGAGTGCATGCTCATTTAGAGGGCGGCCACAGCTTCTATGCGTCTACTCTCAAAATGTTACCACAATATGGCTCCCATGGAAAGAACACTTTCAGCACACTATCCAGCTTGAAAGTCCCTTCTCATTCCTTCCTAGTCATCCATTACAAATCTCCAGACCCAGATGTTCAAGCATTCCCTACACCCATCAGAGATAATGGCATAATGGCAGAGATGCACTACTATCCAAGGACCCAACAACTGCTTTTGAATGCAACTATCTTTTCATCAATTGTAAACAAATCTTAAACTCTTGGCTCCTCGGGAGTCCCTACCATGTCAGGGGGGAAAAAAACCTCTAAAATAAGGGCAGGGGTCAAGGGGATGAGAGCTCACCGTAAGCTCTGGATCTCATCCCACACCCACAAGGTTCAAAAGAATCCTTATCAGAAGGGAACTCCCCAGCAAAAGGCTTCATCAAGAGACTTGCTCTAATAGTGATCTAGCACATTCAGCTTAAGTTTTAGAAGCAGGATCTTAGAAGTAATATGAACAAGAAAAACCTAAATCACTAACAGAATGTGGTTGAAGAAAAGGTGACTTAAAGGGGAAAACAAAGAAATTTGTAAATTTATCTTCATTTGTTTCAGGAAACAACCTGGCTGAAAAACAGTGGATTAATCGTGAACCTGAGTCACAGAAGAAATCTCTTTGGCGACTTATTACACAGTAATTAATTATTCTACTTTGTGTCCAAAATCTTTATAATATACACAAGTAAGTCCAAATGACACAGAGGATATAGGCTCTATCATTCTATACACAACAGTCCCATATGTCTATATCTACATCTATATCTACATGCCTTAAATTCTTCATTAGTATGTAAGACTTGTCACAATCAACAAAGTAGAGACAAGCTAAAACATTTGTTCAGCAGCCCTGAGGTCTCCAACACTTCTCCAGTGTATACTCTGGGGTGACTTATTTAATTTCTCCAGGCCTCAAGAGTTTTAATCTGTAAGATAGTATTGTATCTTTTAAAACAGGGTTATGGATGCTTTTTTAAAATTGCATGCAGAGCACTTAGTATGTATTACCTATTACCTATTATTATTATGTAACTGAAGCCACATCTGATCAAGTTTTCTGTCACTCATCCTAACCAAACCAGAGTATTGTAGGACAAGAAGTGTTTTAAGTTGGCACATATAATAAAGAAAAAATAAGAAATGGGAGATAAAGAAAAGAACAATAAATTAGGTAATACAAAGTCAAACAGGATTAGATAATTGTATGTGATAGAACTCTTCTCATTCCCACTAAATAATTACAAAGTGCCTAGCACACAAAGAATACCCAATAAATATTCCTTTTCTTTCCTTCCTTGATCTCTAACACTCAACCTTAAGCTCTTTCTCTAACTTGGACCCATTAGGAAATGGTACAGAATACTGGAAATTTTTTAGGTCAAACCTTATAGGTACTTCAGCTGAGGGGTACATTTTTTTTCTGTACCTTGAAAAATCCACAGTCTTCTTGGAATTTCAAAACATGTGATAGTTGAATGCAAGGCCAGAGTAAGCTATGGTGCCAGGCTGTCGTACGTAGTCTGTTTTCATCTTGTCTATTCATTCTACCATTACCCGTGGCTCCCTGTTTGGTGGGTATCTACCAATATGACAAAGATTACTCTAACTTTCAAGTTTCTTTTTCAATGCTCATTTATCTAGGTCCTTAAACAGCAGAAAACAGTTATAAATACATATATTTTAAAGTCTGAGTCGGAAAGAATCCCAAATACGGAGTGTTGTGGTTTTTTTTTTTTAAATATTTTTATGTAAGAGCTGGGGTACAGGCCAGAGGCACAGGAGGGTGAGAGGATTCACCAGAGACAGAGCGGGGTACAGAACAGGCAGACGACCGAAATACACTGCTGAGGGGAATGGTTGGCACGACAGGAGAGGTCTACCATGCCATGTGGGATTCTCCCTGGCCAGCCGGGAATCGAACCTACGCTGCAGAGGCTGCGGACAGCTTCACAGCGATGTGCTCAACCCGCCACTGGGGAGGCCCACAGAGTGTTTTTTAAATGGTAATTGTCAGATTTTTCATTTGTACACATTTTTTCCTCATCATGCTCTCTCTTAAAAGTTTGCTACTGACCAAAGAGGAAATACATAATCAAACTGTCGTTTTAAGAAAGCAGAGGAGTTAACTTCTTCAGTCTCCAAAGAGTTTAAATAAGTGGGTTAGCAGATGATCTTTTGGGAGATTACCTGCTGTTAGAGGAAGGGACCCAAAATACTCTAACAGTCAATCAAATGTTAAAGAACAGTCTTGGCCAAAGTGCTATATGAGCAGCAGTATATGAGCTCTGCTCTTCCAAGAGAACGATTTACTTAAAGCACTAACTTCAAATAACATCTGGAATGATTTATCATGTGTCATTAAGAAACAATTTAAGGGCCTCCCCAGTGGCGCAAGGGGTTAAGCACTGCACTATGAAGCAATCTGTAGCCTCTGCAGCGCGAGTTGGATCCCCAGCCAGCCAGGGAGCAAAGGGAGCAACCCACATGGCGCAGCAGACCTCTCCTGACTCGCCCGCTGCTCCTCTCAGCGGTATATTTCAGTTAGTCTCCCTGTTCTGTTCCCCACTCTGTCTCTGGTGAATCCTCTAACCACCACCCTCCCCTCCCCGCATCTCTGGCCTGTACCCCAGCTCTTGTATGCGTAATTAAAAAAAAAATTCAATTCAATATACAACAGGCCATGAGTACAGAGAGACTGAGAATTTCAATTTTATACTACACAAACTAGAATAGCACACACTTAATTAAAAGTGTTTATAGTTGCCAAGCATTGGTCTAAATAACACAACACTACATTTAATCCATACAACAATCCTGTAAATAATAAGTTTTTACTGTCCCCATCTTACAGATGAGAACATTAAAGGCACACAAGGTAAATAACAATCAAGACTACAGAACCCAAATAATTTTGAGCCAGAATCCATGCTCTTAATTCAGAAGAGTTCTGGTTATACAAAAAGTTAAAGGACTCATCTGAAACGCAGACCAAAAATTTACACAAAAATATGTTCATTGTGGCATTATTTATAAGGTAGAAAAAAGAGGAACCAACCTAAATCCCCCAAAATAGGATAATAGTTAAATAACTCATGGTAAAACTACTTACAATGAATATTATCCTGCCATTAAAAATATTGATGAAAAATGTTTCATAACAGGACAATATTCCCAATGTAATGCTCAGAGGGAGAAAAAAAAAGGAGGGGATAAAATTATATATATATTCCAATTCCTAAATTATGTAAAAAATAAGCTCAGACACATTGGAATGACATAGCCTGTTATTTCCAGATGTTTTGTCCAGGGATGTTTATGATTTTCCTCTGGTGTTTTCCACAATGACATGAATTATTCTATTAATTTAAACAAAGGTTACTTTTTAAATTAAGCTTCACCATGAGCCTCAAGCAATTGGTCAAAAAAAATTAGCTAAAAAGTCTCTAATCTATTTGTTTAACTTTAGTAGTTACTTTCCTTAGAATACCCTTTGACCATCCAACATAGTTACCACCTACCAATAGGAATACTCATCTTCAACTTTGAAAACCAAATTAAAACGACTATTTTCAATGTTAGTGAATTGTCAATATTTATTCTCTAATTAGTTGTAGAATTATTCTGTAAGAGAAATGGATTGATCAACTTAGAGGCCAAGAAGTCCAGAATGGCATTGTCACTTTCCATTCTCCAGAAATAGATAATAAGGTACAAAAGCCTAAGGAGGAAGAACAGCTGTTGCTAATCCAACTATTTACCCTTTGACCCTCTATCTGGCCAATAACTGAACAGTATCAATTGTTTTCCTGTATTATGTGCTGTTTACAATCCTTGAGAGGCATGAAAGGAATTAATAATTTAGCCTAGAAAGCTTACAGCCTTTATTGGGGAGTCCCTTGTCTGTAGGACAGAAATCAGAGCCCCAAGTAGCTGTCCTAAAGTCACAGGTCCCTTTACTATTCCTGTTTTATAGCCTAATTGGCCCCCAAACATAAATCAATTATTTCTCCTGTTTTAAGCAACAATGACTTCTATTTTCTAACTTCCCCTGTATCAAGTTGGTCCTTGTTCTCTTGAGTTTTACAGCTACACAGTAAGCATGATGGCTGAGGGAAAAACTTGAGGAGCAGGGCAGACTAGGGTTACTTGAAAAGAGAAGCACAGAAAGGTTATACTGTTTGAACTTCTCTTGACCTTTGACTGCCCTTGTCCCTAACGTATGCTAAATGGGCAGGGTACAGAGATGTTTCTTGTAGAAATGAACTTAGCCTGAACCTGTGCCATAACATTGGACTCCAGGAAGCCCAAGAATCATAGGAAGGCAAAGTGTGAACAGCTGCCTGTATTCTAAGCATGGTTGCCCATTTGCTCATCACAGAAAAGGTTATTTTTTAAAAAGTCATTTAAATAGGATAGTCCTTCACCCAGTTCCAACACATTACATAGGTTGTCCCAGACTTGCTATCTATAACCAGTGCCAACCACAATGAGTAATCAGCAACAATGGCACTTCCTATTCCAAAATAAACAAGTATGCCTGCCCTGAGCAGGCAGTCCCTATCCGGAATTCAGAGGTAGAGGAGACACCGTGACCTCCAAATTCCAAAGATGCATCACAGTGAAATACCTATTCTCAATCTAAAGTACAAAATTTGTAAGACTTAAACACAGGAGATTCCTTCCCAGTCAGAAGTCATAGAATTACCTATCAACAACTATAACCCATTTAACATAAGACACAGTCTTGAGGTTTCCTATTACTTATCAGGGCTGAGCACACTCATTTAAAACGCAAAATTGGTACAGACCAAGATGATAAATTTTTATTTCTATTTATTACAATAATCAGATCTTTCCATATTTCTTCAAGGAGAAAGATATTAACTTCACAATATTGAGACTACTGCCCATATAGTATCATTTAAAAGTGATTTTTAGATCATTTCCATTCTATTCTAACATATAAAATTATCCACTATCTATACCTTCTCATGGTATCTATAGTTATGTAGATCTAGCTAGGGATTCTGTGCAGAAATGTTAAATGAGTTAGAACACACTGTGCAGAAAAAAAGACTATTTCACTAATAACCTTCATGAGAATCTCAAGGATCTTTTCTGTAAGCTAAGCAAGAGCTATTTTCAGTTGCCACTAAATACAGAAAAGAAGAATAAGATTGGGTACTATGTTCTAAATTAGAGGTTTAAAAATTTTTTTTTCAATAATTCTGGATAAGGAAATATTTTCTAATAGTCTGTTAAGTATATGAGGGCAGAAACTAGACTTATTTTTATATCTCTGGAGACTAGAACTGGGCCTAGAGCACAGAGAACACTCAATATTTAACTGGGTTCTTAATTATTTGGTATGTTTTGTGTAAAATTCTGTCTGAAAGATTACAGAGAATTTCCTAGTGTTGAAAAACTATTCTAAGAAAGGACCAAAACTCAAGAATTTACCTTTCCCTTCTTCTAAATGAAGGACAAAGAAAACAGTGTGCTCATTTATAAGTACCGAGTTGTCAAGGTACCTCTGATTTGTAGAAAAAAATCTTTTTCTCAAGTATCTGATAAGCATTGTAGGACTCATTTTGTTTCACAATTAGTAAGTATTAGTTGAACAAATGTGAATGTTTATTAATATTACAAAGTGTATAGTGAAAATGTGAGAAGGTCCACAACAGCCTCAGAAAACTAATATAAACCAGGATAGTGAACTTTACACTTACCTCAACAGAAGATTGGTGACAGTCTTCCCATGACCCTAAGAAAGTTCCAGAACTAGAAAAATAACTCTAGATGATCTCATGGATTCCCAATCTAAATTATTATTCAATCTTTTGGCATTACAGTAAAATAAGGTCTGTACACATTGGATATTCCCATGATCTATTTCTAATAGTTAAAACAATGTCCCAAAATGATGGAGGCCACATTTTGAGAACCCTGGAAATATAAATGATCAAGAAATAAATAATCTTGAAAAACATCATTTAATTAAACCATGAAATGGTCACTCATACTTTAATCATAGGAATGTAGAGGGTGATTAAGAATTAAATTGTTGTGTAAAAGTTATCAATTATAAACATCTAAAACAAGCAAAATCCTTCTTTGAAAAAAATTTTACCAAGACTAGTCAATACTTTAGAGAAATGGTTGTGAGTATATATATAGCTGTATGTGTGCATAAATGAAAACACAGTTTTTGTCACTGATGGTTTCATGAGAAAAGGGAGAAAACAGGGCAGGGAGATTAGGATTACATGGAAATTTTCAGCAAACCAACTTTCTAAATATGGCTAGATCCTGGCCACTGAATAATATTAGGAGGGAAAAAAAAAAGCACAACTAGAAACGAGAGAACGAATTATAAAGTAAAATAAAATCTGAGTCCAATAAAATAAAGCCTACCAATGACACCCCAAGTTAAACATTGAGAAGGACACACACATCCCTGTCTTGCCCATGAACACTAGAGAATATTCAGAACTTACTAGCGCCTGGGTCGAGCTCTGCCAATTCGTCCTGACAAAAACCTAAAGAAAAAACAACAGAAGATATTAAGATTCGTGAATTACTTCAAGAGCATTCCAAATATGAAAAAGCAAGTATTACATAATTGAGGGGGGAAAAGTCCAGACTCAGAAGTAAAATTTGGATTTGAATCCCTAGCTCTGAAACATTTATATGTATATAAATGTATCTTCTCCTCTTTCATTTCACCATCTTAATATAAAAATGGGTAATTATAGCATTTATCAAAGTTGTAATGAAAATTACGTGAGATATTGATATAAAATGCTTATTTAGCACAATCTTTGAAACACAGTAGAACATTTGGCGCTCAATAAACTGCACAAGTATTTACTTGTAGCCAATGACAACTGGAATATAAATTCATATAAAATTACAATTCCCCTTAACTACCTGTAATGTTGTACTTAACATTATTTCCCAAAAGAAAGCAAAATATACAACATGTGAACTTACAACAAATATCAAACAGGGTAAGTTTACTTAAAATTTTCACAAATGCTGGAGAATTTATCAACACACACTAACGAGAAGCAATTATTTCATTAATGAGTATGCTATTCAGGTTGGAATAAACACCTCTCAAAGCACATTTCAAGTTCCAAAACTAAGAGCCACATCTCTCTTATTGGTGTGGAACTATCACACTGGAGGGGAAAATCAAGCACATTGAAAGGTTAACACACAGTAGGTGTTTTATACATAATGACTGAGATTTTTTTTTCCTGCAACAAGTGCCTATTATCTTCAGGTTTTTTTTCCTCCTCATTTTAAATATTTTGTCAGAAAAGCTTTTTCTTGCCTCCCTTACCCTTGTCATACACACAAGGTTCAAGTCCTATTATAAGTATCTACAAAACTTAGTGCACTAATCAACAAGGAATTACTATGTCCAACTATTAAACTTGTCCAAAAAGAATGGAACCTGACCTATTCACAGCTATAGCTGCATTATCTCCCACAAGTCTAGCGCAAAGCAGTTCTTCAGTAAACATCAATTGTAGTATCTTAACGGTAAACTTTTTCAAAATGGAGCAAAACTAGTACTAGAGGGTTGTGAGAGTATTTTATGTGATCAGCACTGGGAAGCCAGATGAGAGCCAACTGAGAGTCACGTGTCGAAAAAGATGTTCAAATAGCAGGGAGACTCTTAAAAAGGTCCACAACTTTTACAAAGGTCCTCTAATATTCCTAGGCTGTTTTGGACACACCATTCACCAAACATACCACATCCTTTCTTGCCTTCTTTGTTTCCTCCTCCTCCTCCTCCACTTAGTGAGAAGTATTTATCCCTCAAGATCCAGTTTAAATATCACCACCAGTGTGAAGTGTGAAGCATAGAAAAGGAGAGCATTCACTGAAGAACAAAGGAACAATTTAAATATGGGCCTCCTCCACTAGACAATAAGCTCTTCAAGGTAAGAAACATGGCCTATCCATCTGCAGATCTGCTTTTATGGTCAGAACAGCTGTCAACACATTGTGGAAGATGCTCAAATTCAGGATGAACTAAATAAAAGCATAATCCTGCCTCAATGATCATAGTCTACAGGAAGTTACAGACTCAGAAAATGTAAGTCTAGCCTAGAAAACATGCAGGAAGTCTGAAAAAGGAAATTGGATTTGGAGCACCAGAATTTGTAAGCTGTTGAAAGTGGCTGAAATGCCTAGGAAGGCCCACCTCAGAGCAACTTTCCAGACTTTCTACATAAAGGCTACAGGAGGGCCTCCCCTTAAGCGCTGGGTTGCAAGGCTGCCCGCAGCCTCTGCAGCGCCGGTTCAATCCCCGGCTGCTCCCGGCCACCGGAGGAGGGTCCCGCATGGCCGCAGACCTCTCCCGAAGCCCGCTGCTCCCCTCAGCAGTGTACTTCGGTCCTTCTGCCTGCTCTGCTCCCCGCTCTGGCTCTGGTGAATTCTCTCACCCTCCTGCGCTTCTGACTGTACCCAGTGCTTGTATAAATAAATAAAGCTTTAAAAAAAAAAAAAAAAAGCTACAGGAATCCGAAAAGCTGTGGGAAAAGGCCAGGTAATAATGAAACAACTCATCATTACATGGGGGTTCAACACTGCCAGAAGTGAAATTGAGGATAAACATTAATTTAATGTAAGTGGATTCAAAAACAGGCCAAGAACACAAAAAGGGAGATTCAAAGCACTTTCAGTTATATAACTTTAAGTAAATCACTGCCTAGTCTAGATCTCAGATTCTGAACCTTAACTGAAAGCACTGCACTGGAAGTCTCAAGAAAGAACACATGTCTATTGAAATTTCTGAAAACATTTTGAACTCAAGAGTACCTAAAATCAAGCACAAAGAGAGGGTGACTTAAAAAAACAAAGAGTTAAACAGGACATCTATTTTATCAGTCTCGTAACTACATCTTCTTCTGTTAATGACATCGTATATTTCTTTGAAGACTTACCACTTCTACAATCTCAGACCATATGACTCAGATAGGATTGACTTTAACCCTGCTATAAACAGGGTGCTATAGTTTATTGAAAGGATTAAATGAGATCATGCATGTAAAGGCTTTACAAAATATGTAACATAGTCAGAGTTCAACATATGGGCGCTACTTCTAACTAAACCCCTAGGGGCCATCCAAAACAATGTCCACAGCAGCAAAAACAGATTCTAGGAGAGTAACTACTGACCCATGTGACATCATCCTCAAAAACCTGGGTTGGATCCCTAACCCTAATGTCACTTTAGTCATCTTCTACAATTCTTAATTCCCCCCCCCCCCCCCGTAAATTGCTTAGGTGGTGATTCCAGATACAAGCTATCCCCTGAGGTAAGGAAGACAGAAGGACTCTTAAATTTGCCCTAAAACATTCTTCCAACAGTTTCAGAAAGCCCTGATTATGGAATTCTGTAACTATGCCTATAATCCCTCCATCTAGTCCTAAGGCCACTGACTAATAATGCTGTCTCTGGTTTTACAGATCATATAGGGCAGGAGGTCTGAAAAGATATGGATAACAATGTTAATCCCACCTATAAAGCACATGATCCTGACAAGTCAATAGAAGAGTTAGATCTGGCTACCATTCTCAAAGAATATCACCCAAATTATCAGCAACCATATCTAGTTAGCAAAATAATTCCAGCAAGAAGAATCCAAATCACTGCTAGAGTAATCCCAATCTATACCTAGTTAGATCAACACAAAGGCAAAAAATGATTATCAGAGTTGTTTAGTAAAAGTGGATTCCTAAACCACATAAATCACAAACATACCACCAAAAAAACTCTCTCCCAGAATGCAACTCATTAAAGAGCTACGAAATATTCTGAGAGATCGCCACTCTATGACTAGTGATTTAAATAGCCTTAAAAAGGGACAGAAGAGAAGCATAGATAATATATCACCAAGTCAGCATCATTATAACCAATCTCAAATTCAGTAAAGATTTAACTTAGAAAACAGATACAAAATGAAAAAGGCATGAATCTGAGACAGATTTGGATTCAAATCCTAGATTTGCCACCATTTTTAATTAACTACCCTGTCTCTATTTCAAGAAACGAGGATTAAAAGTAACCACCTTGGGGCCTCCCTGCTGGCTCAAGGGGTTAAGACACAACCTATGAAGATGTCCATAGCCTCTGCAGCACAAATTTGATCCCCAGCCGGCCAGGGAGCTGCCCACATGGGGCAGCAGACCTCTCCTGTCTTGCCCGCTGTGCCCCTCGGCAGTGTACTTCAGTCAATCTGCCTGTTCTGTTCCCCACTCTGTCTCTGGTGAATCCTCTCACCCCCCACACCTCTGGCCTGTACCCCAGCTCTTGTATGCATTAGTAAATAAATCCTAAAAAAATAAAAATAACCATCTTGGTCAAATTTTGTGAGATTAAGTGAATATACATAAGTCATTTACTTTACAGCCATTGATAAACAGTTCCAAGTCTAGGAATTTTCTTTATTACAAAGAAGACCCAAGTGACAACATTTAGCAAAAAAAAAAGGTCGATGATTCCTCAGCTGTGATTGCTTACAGTGACAGCTTTAAAAGATACTATTTTCCTTTATTTACTATTTTGACTATACAAAAACATTTTTTTTTTAAAGATTTATTTCTTTGTTTATGCATACAAGAGCTCGGGTACAGGCCAGAGATGCGGGGGGTGAGAGGATTCACCAGAGACAGAGTGGGGAACAGAACAGGCAGACTGACTGAAATACACTACTGAGGGGAGCAGCAGGCGAGTCAGGAGAGGTCTGCTGCGCCATGTGGGTTGCTCCCTGGCAGGCCAAGATGGAACTCACGCTGCAGAGGCTGTCGACTGCTTCATAGAGCAGTGCTTAACCCCTTGGGCCACCAGGGAGGCCCCAAAAAAAGATTTTAAATAAACTTTGAGTATCCGTTTTTTTCCCCAAATATGAACAAATAGAAGTTTATGGGTACTGTCATTAAACAAATTCAAGCCTGTGCCTCCCTGGTGGCCTATGGATTAAGTCTCAGTACTATCATCACTATAGCATGAGTTTGCTTCGGGGCCAGGGTCTAACCCACATGGTACAGCAGACCTCTCCTGTCTTGCCTGCTGCTGCCCTCAGCAGTGTATTTTGGTAGATCCACCTGTTCTGCTCCCCACTCTGTCTCTAGTGGGTCCTCTCACCCCCTGCACTCCTGGCCTACACCCCAGTTCTATACCAAAAAGAAAAAAATTCAAGGCTGAAACACTAGCTAATAGAAATTTATAATGTATCTTTTACAAAAACTAGTTAAATGTTTCTCTGTATTTTTCTGCTGTTATATTTTTATTGGGGTAATGTTGCTTCATAACACTGTATGAGATTCAGAGGTACAGGTGCACACCTCTTCAGATAACATTACCACACCTCACCCACCACCAAAGCAGCAACTATAATGTACCCATGTAGTCCACAGGGCCCTCCACCCACTTTGATGCAAACCCCCCATTGTTCCCCTCAGATTTCTAGGATTTATTTTCCAGTTTTGTCTGCTCCTTTGTTTTGGTCTCTATATTCCCTATATAGAATGAAAACATCCAGTATTTGTCTTTCTCCTTCTGACTCAGTTCACTTAATATCCCCTCCAGTTCCACCCACATTGTCAAAAATGGCAAAATTTCATCTCATAATCCATTTATGTGTCACTGGGCACTTAGGTTGTTTCCAAAACATGGCTACTGTAAACAGTGTTGCAAAGAACAAAGGGGTGTACATATCCTTTCAAATTATGTTTTATTTGCATTCTTTAATGGATATGTAGGCAATCAACTCCTGGATAACATGACAGAGTAAAAATATTTTGAGAAACTTCCATACTGTCTTGCATAGGGACTGGCCTAGTCTACATTCCCACCAGCAGTGTATGAGGGTTCCTTTCTCTCCACATCCTCCCAAACACTAGTTGTTTCTGATCTTGTTGATATGTGTCCTCACAGGTCTAAGGAAATTATCTCATTGTGGTTTTGATTTGCATTTCCCTAATAAGTGATGATGAGCATTATTTCATGTGCCTACTGTCCATCTGTATGTCTTTGGAGAAGTACCTATTTAGCTTTTCCATCCATTTTTTGATTGGGTTGTTTGTTTTTGCCTTTTTTTTTTTTTTTGGTTACATTGTATGAGTTCTTTGGAAACCTTGGTTATTAGCCTCTTGTTGGATGTTTGATATATAAATATTTTCTCCCATCCAGTATGGTGTGTTTTCATTTTAACGATTGTTTCAGACACCTCAGAAATAAGAAGCTCGTAAGAGATTACTATGCACATCTTTATGCCAATAAATTGTATACACAGGAATGAACAAATTCTTAAAAGCATACAACCTTCCAAATCTGAGTCAGGAAGAACTAGAGAATTTAAACAGACCAATTACAAGCGAGGAAACTGAAACAGTAATCAAAAGTCAAAAAAAAAAAAAGCCCAGGACCATATCTACCAAACCTTCAAAGATGAACTAATACCTACCTTAGCAAACTGAATTCAACAATACAGCAAACATATCATATATCATGACCAAGTGGGATTTATTCCAAGGATACAGTGGTTCAACATTCACAAATCAATCAATGTAATTCACTACATCAGCAAAAAGAAAAAGAAAAATCATATGATCATATCAATAGTTGAAGAGAATGCATCTGATGACTCAACATTCATTTATGATAGAAACTTTTAAAAACACACCTCACCATAATAAAGGTCATATAGGCCAAAACCACAGATACATCATACTCAATGCGGAAAACTGAAAAATTTTCCTCTAAGGTCAGGAATAAGCTAAGAATGTCCATTTTCACCACTACTATTTATAGCATTGGAATCCCTAACAAGAGCAATTAGGCAAGAGAAATATACAAAAGGAAACCAGACTGGATAAGAAGTAAAATTACCACTATTTGTAGACAACATAGTAACACACACAAAAAAAAAAAAACCTAAAAATATCACTAAAAGACAACTGTCAGAAACAACAAATCAGTACAGTGAAGTAGCAAGCTGTAAGATCACTATACAAAAACTGGTTGTGTTCCTATATTCAAACAACAAAATAGAAGCGAAAGATTAAAAAAAAAAAATCCTATTTACAATTGCCTCAAAAGAATTAAAATATGTAGAAATAAACTTACCAAAGATCTGTACAATGAAAACTGTAAGATGTTAAAATTAAAAAAAAAAAAGACAACAATGACACAAAGAAATGGAAAGCTATTTCCTGTTCATGGACAGGAAAAATTAACGTTGTGAAGATGGTCAT